TTCCTTCCTTCCTTCCTTCCTTCCTTCCTTCCTTCCTCTCTTCCTCTCCTGAATGATAAGCAACAGCAGGATAAATAGCTCCTTCCAAATCAGCAAGTTTGGGAACCACAAAGATTTGCAAGAAAAAAGTTGATAGGTAAATTTTTCTTTTAGTAGTATAGTGTACACTTGTCCAGAGCTCTGTGCCCTCCTCCATGCAACTTGCAGAAAAGGCAAAGAGGTTGGGCATTTTATCTTCCTAAGAATATTTGACTTCATTTAAAAAAAAACCAAAGCAAAATTCTTGGCCTTTAAACCACAGCATGCCCTTCGTAACTTCTTGTTATGCCTCACAAGCCGGTGGAATTAGAATTAGTTACTTGTACATTGCACACTGACTTTTAATTTTTGCAAGATCGATGTCCCTCTGATTTTTGGTGGGGAGCATGGCTGGGTTTGGCTGCACACACTTTCATTCCTCATTTTGTTCAGGCTAGGAGAAAATTGTATATTGTTATTTTGTTTAGAATGTATACACCTTCCTCACCTTTTTTCCTGAATATTTATTCTTTTTTCTCACCTTTCTCGGAAACCAGCCTCGGCCCCCACCTCTTTTGAAGGTCCATTTGGCAAAGTGATACATCAGGTGAAAGCTGTCATCGAGACGCCACGGTTTTCCAAGGATCATAAGTGTCACAAGGTCTTCTACGTTCTGTGTCCGCTGAATCTGAACGATATCCCAGATATTGAGGCAAGTTGGGGATGGAGGTTGCTGACCCCAAACTTTGGTTCTTTCTCTCCTCCCCACCAAAAACATTCTTTTTTTATTGATAAAAATAAAAGACTCAATAACTATATGAGTGCAATTAGTTTTGGAAAAACCACTCACGCATCATCTCGAAATCTCCAGAACTGTACAGCCTACAAACGTGAAATTTGGCACGTAGGTTCCTCTTGGCTTCTAGGTGCTTGCTAAGAAAGGATTATTTTTCGAAATGCCCATCAGAGTATTTAGAGTATTTATTATTATTATTATTATTATTATTATTATTATTATTATTATTATTATTATTATTATCATTATTATTATTAACCTGCTCTGATGCTAAGGAGTTCCACTCCCCCTCCCCACCTGAAAAGAAATCTCTTCCAAGTGCAAAACATAATTGTTTCCTTGGACACCCAAGGAAATTGTCTTTGGTGCATAAGCTCTCAGTGTAAATAAAGAAAAAATAAAATAGATTTGTCAAGAATCCTAAGATACAACACTTAGTGATAGTCATAGGATATTAATACGCAAACACAACATACTAGGAAAACAAATAAAACAATATAAGTTGCAAAGATACAAGCAACACGGTTATAGTCATAAGTGGGAAGAGATAGGGAATAGGAAGGATGAGAAGAAGAGTAAGGCAGTGTTGCTCAATAGTTGGACAGTTGGTTGTTTAGCAGAAGGATGGCATTTGGGAACAAAACTGTCCTTGTGTCTAGTTGTTCTGTGTGTCACCACGCCAGGAGGCGGTGCTGGGTTTCTTCAGCTGATGTCCACTCAGCTGACCCAGCCGTCCTCTTTCTGTTTCACCCCCTGCAGCAATGCAACACCAACTCCATCACCAAGAAGTTCAGCTACAAGCTTGTCAAAACAGGAAACGTGGTTTTGACGGCCACCACCGATCTCAAGGGTTACACCGTCGGGCAGGTCATCCAGTTGCGAACAGACATTGAGAACAAATCTGGCCGGGACACCAGCACCATTGTGGCAAGCCTCATCCAGGTAACCGCATCTCTTGAAGACGGCATTGTGGTGCCAAGTTGGGTTGGTCTTGAGGTATTTGGCCCTGTGCTCACCCTCTCAGCTGCCTCCTTGATTCATGCATTAGACGAACATTGACAGGGATGGAGGGATGGATGGAGGAGTGAATGGATGGAAGGAAGGAAGGAGGGAGGGAAGATGGAAGGGAGGGAGGTAAGGATGAAATAAAGGTTGGAAGGAGGGATAGATGGAAGGACCGGTGGATGGAAGAAAGGTTGGAAAGGAAGGAAGGAAGGAAGGAAGGAAAGAAAAAAGGAAAGGAAAGGAAAGGAAAGGAAAGGCAGGCAGGCAGGCAGGCAGGCAGGCAGGCAGGAAGGAAGGAAGGAAAGGAAAGGAAGGAAGGAAGGAAGGATAGCTTCATGGATGGATGGGTGGATGGCATGAGATTTTATCCTAAAACTGCAAAGGCTGAGGGACGATGCCTAGTCCCCCAATATCTCCTGCGCTTCCTGGAGCTAAACCAGCTCTCCCTCCAATCCCTAAATAAGCCACTACACCAAACTACCCTGGGTTGATTCTTCATGGCAACTTTCTTTGGCCTGTCTGGAACCTCCCTTGGGTTCAGCTTCACTGAAGTTGCCCCTTGTGAGAGGGAACACAATTTCTCCCATGGCCCTTTCGGCTGCTTCTTTAGGGTTGGCGTTTGGAGAAACTTATCCATTACTAAACTATTTTCTTCTCCCCTTGACCTCTCTTGTCTCCCTCCTCCCCGTCTGCCAGAAAGTGGCCTATAAATCCAGGCGGTGGATTTATGACTTGAGGAGCATAGCAGAAGTAGAAGGTTCGGTGGTGAAAGCGTGGAAGCACGCAGAGTGGAAAGAGCAGATTCTTGTCCCTGCGTTGCCACAGTCCATCCTGCAAGGCTGCAGTCTCATCCACATCGATTACTACATCCAGGTGAGATCAGGGACTTTCAGCTGGGCCCCCCTGGTGGATCAGAGGATAAATGGAAAGGGGCTCCTAGGTGCTCTCTGTGCTTGGTTTTCTTGTAGATGTTCAATAGCCATAGCCCTTGGACTTATATACCGCTTCCTGGTGCTTTACAGCCCCTCTAAGCGGTTCACGGGGTCAGCCTCTTGCCCCCAACAATCTGGGTCCTCATTTGACACACACCCCCCCCAAGGATGGAAGGCTGAGTCGACCTTGAGCCGGTCAGGATTGAACTGCTGGCAGTCGGCCGAGTCAGCCTGCAATCCTGCATTCTAACCACTGTGCCAGCATGGCTCTTGATGAAGTGCTTTAAGTGGATGACTCCCTGTATTAATGAGAATGCCCCCACCCTTATTTTTTGATCTTTCTCAGGTCTCCCTCAAGTCCCCCGACGTCTCCGTCGCCTTACCCATTTACATCGGCAACATTCCTGTGAACCGGATCCCCTTAAGCCCCGCCCACTTGGCCCCCAACATTCCCTCCCCGGTGGTTCCGAGCGCACCCCCCGAAGAAGAGGAAGCAGCCGGGGGTTACTCCCACCCCATGGACAATATTTCAATCCCGACCAAGAGCCATTCTCAGCAGCAGCCCTTCAGCTATGCCCCGGGATTGAGCTTCCCGGAAGCCAGAGTGGATCCGGAACAGGTCACCTCCCCCAACCGGCCCACGCTCTGCTTGTCCACGGGGTCAACGGTTCCGTATTATGCCGAGGGGGCTGTCGTTCCGGTGGCCACGGCCAGTTCTTTGATCCTACCGCCCGAGTATAGCACCTGGGGTTATCCATACGGTAAGCCACTGCTGGGGTTGGAAAGAAATTATCCACGGGTGGGTAGAGAGCTCTGTCGGGCCCCAGAATGTAAGAAAGACAGGTTGAGGGTCTTTGAAGGCAGGGGTGACCTCGATGTCATTGAGGGCCGCATCAGGGCTGTGTTTGACCTTGGGGGGGGGTGTTTGGCCAGGGTGGGCGTGCCTATCACTCATGTCAGGGGCAAGCGCTAAGGCAGGACTCCCCTCAGACCAGAGGTGGGATTCAGCCGGTTCTGACCAGTTCTAGAGAACTGGTAGCGGAAACTTTGAGTTTGGGAGAACCGGCCGATCCCACCTCTGACTGGCCCCGCCAACTCCATCCCTTCCCTGCTCCCATCGAGTCCCAGTTGATTGGCTGGGTCTCCTTTGGTTGCCCTGCCCAGGAGAACGGAGTTGGAAAGCAGGTTGGTGGGGAAGGGAGGGAAGGGGGATTTTGCAGCATCCTCCCCCTGCCCCACCCACCAAGCCACGCCCACAGAACCTGTAGTAAAAATGTTTGAATCCTGAGAGAGCAATCAGCCAGTGGAACAACTTGCCTCCAGAAGTTGTGAATGCTCCAACACTGGAAATGTTTAAGAAGAGATTGGATAACTATTTGTCTGAAGTAGTATAGGGGGTATCCTGCCTAAGCAGGGGGTTGGACTAGAAGATCTTCAAGGTCCCTTCCAACTCTGTTATGCCATTCGATAGGTCGTCCCTCTCTCCTTTGAGACAGACCCTCCATTATTGGCAGACTGCTATCATGTCACCCTTAGTCCTTCTCTTCTTTAGACTAGACGTACCCAATTCACCTCCAAACGATTCCTCAAATGAGGGATTACAATGTCTCTTCTGCTTCCTTTCTCACCAGAGGCCCCTCCTTCGTACGAACAGAGTTGTAGCAGTGCGGCCTCCAGCTTGAGCAACGACCACTAGGCAACGACAACGATCTAAAGACGACCAGAGTGAATTGGGAGGAAGGAACGGTACGCAGCGTTGCTCGGAAGAGGGAGCATCCCCTGGCCGCGGGCCTGCTGGCTGCCACTCACTCACGCTAGGGATGCCTTTTTACATCCCACCTGGGAACTGTGCCGTCCTCCATTTGCTGCTGCTTTTTACTCTCCAAAACACCTGTGATGCCTTATCGGGAATGCAACCAGAATCCAAGAAGGTGGGGTGGACCACGCAAGCACCTCTGTTTTTGGAGTGCTGCTCTTGAATTCCCACCCTGGGATTGACTGTCTGGACAGTCCCATGTTGTCCTCCTCCTTTCTCCTCTGACGTCCTAGAGGTGTTTCTAGAGAGCAGGGCAAACATTCCCATGATCCACGGACATCCTTTTTGCAACGACATAACGGTGTCAACAGGTTATCGGCAGGAGTTCTTGCAGCCTTTCGAACTCAGTGCCTGTCTATTGGAGCTTTTCCAAGGTTGGAGGTCTGTTGCCACAGGAGAAAGATGGAAGATGGACTTTTTTTGTAGTGCCGAGCCAGCCTTGGGTAGAAGAAAGATCTTCCTTGATGATAGCGTGGTCCCTGAGACCAATGAGGTCCTCATGTGTTCAAGCCACTCTGCTTGGCCAGGATTCATTCCAGATAACGTCTTCGGGAACTGTGTCTCTTGAGCACGAGTAGATCCTTAATTTCTCCTCCTGAATCCTCCAACGTTGGCTTTCCATCTGGTTGGTAGCATCTGACAATCATGGCTTGTGTCCAACTTCTACCTCGGCCTTCCTGTTTCCCATGAAACAAGATGGAACCGCAAGAAGGGGTAGAGAGAGAGAGAGAGAGAGAGAGACACGCGGCTAGAATTTAAAGTATCTATCTAATTTTGAAAAAACAAAACAAAGACCTTATATCTCAAGGACCTTTTGACTACACAGGACTTGGTCCTGATTGTCCCCCTTGCCTTCACCCTCAGTTTGTCTGGCTGGTGAACCCTACCCAATCGTGGCTGGTTAGTTATTTTTAATCATTGTCATTATTTTTTTTAAAATTTTCTTCTTCCAATGGAAGCTTCCCAAGAGCTGCTTCCCTGACCTCACTGCCTCAATCACCTGTCTTCTCCCAAACCATCAAGGTAGCTTCAGGGGATTTGTTTGAGGAGCAGTGAGCAGGTTCCCTATAGATGCATTTCCTGGGACCTAAAACCTACCCCCCCAACAGTCTGATTTTCTTTTCTTTTCCTGTTGACTGTGAATTACCCCAGGGCTAAAACCTCCCCACCTTTTCACAGAGCCTCAGTTGCATGGACGCAGCCCACCTGGATGCCTAAAATCAACTCTTTTTTACTTCTAAGGTGATTGAAACCTCTCTCTCCCTCTGTCTGTCTCTCTCGGTTTTTGATTGACCTGTTTTTATTGTGACATTTTTAAAAAAAAGCAATTTTAATGTATTTAATAAATTATTCTGAGAAAAGCTGTCAAAGGGTTTGTTTCGGTGCTCCTTCTCTTCCTCTTTTCATTCACCTTGTGGTTTGGCAGGTCGTGATGTTCTTCCCCTTAAGTCAGTTGCATCTTGAGAATCTAAAACCTTGGCCAGGTTTCACTTAAAGGCACAGCTTCCTTTCTCCAGCAACCCCCACCAGCTCTGGAGAGTTCGTGGGAAGAAGAGAAAAATATTAATTTCCTTCCACCTGTCGGAAACGGCAGAATCTTGGTAATATTGATATAATCCCTGACTTACAACCAACTTCATTTAGGGACCATTCAAAGATACAAAGGGGTTGAAAAAAAATGACTCGTGGCCATTATTCACACTTAACGACCATTCCAGAAAGATCTGCAAAATCGGACAGTTATGGATATTCCTTTCTGGCGGCTTAAACTCACAAATTTCAAAGGATTCCAGATTCCTGACACAGGTCCAGATAACGTTCACCGAGATGGAGAGGGATGGAATTTGGCTGTTCTGCGGATACTTTTCACTACAAGGCCGAGTTCATCCTGCACACTAAGGGATAATGGGCTCCGGTTTTGACTGAGTAAGTTTTGTGAAGCCAGCAAATACGGCTGGTCGAGCAGAGTTTATACATTTGTGAGCCGCGTGAACAAATTCAGCTGGGACGGATGAGATCACCTAAGTCCAAAGCCTGAAGTGGGCAGCAGATTGCTCAACTATAGCAGTAACTCAAGAATGCCAGAAAAACAAGAGTTGGAAGGGAACTTGGAGATCTTCTAGTCCAACCCTCCGCCCAAGCAGGAGACACTACACCGTTTCTGACAGAGGGCAGTCCAGTCTCTTCTTGAAAGTCTCAAGCGGTGAAGCTCCCACAACTTCCAAAGGCAACTTCTGTTCCATCAGTTGATTGTTCTCCCTGTCAGAAAGTTTCTCCTTATTTCCAGGTTGAATCTCTCCAGTTTCCATCCATTGTTCTTTTCCTGTCCTTTAGGTGTTTTGGAGAACAACTTGACCCCCTCCTCCTCTCTGGGGCAGCCCCTCAAGTATTGGAACATTGCTCTCATGTCTCCTGCCTTTTTCATGTAAATATTCAGAATGGGTTCATTCTACAGCTGGATATATTCAACTCTCCCTTATTTTGCAATTGCAAAATTAAGCCTAATTGCATAATACATCCCCTTGAGTTTTCCTTCAAGCTTATGGACAAATCCCACGTAAACCTCACAGGCTTCCCCAGTCTAAACTCATTCAAAATTCATCAGGCATGACTTAATAAATACATATTCATTTAAGCTTCCGTCTGAACTCATTGCAGGAAATGTCTGGTTTCCCAGGGTGGCCTGCCCTTGCTCCCCATGGTTTTTGGGGAGGGAAAGGGGAGGGCTTCTGATCTGCAAAAGGCCACTTCAGTCTTTCTTGATGGCTGCCAGAAGCTACAAAGAACGGGCTTTTATTTTGGAGGAGTTTTGGAGATGAAAACCTGCGGAGAGATCCGTTGGGGGGCAGTAGCGTTTCATTCCTGTCTCCCTATTTTTTCCCTCCTCTGCAAAAAGATTGGGTTTAATGGCCTACTTTGGCGGAACAAAGCTAAGGTTTGCAGTCTTGTGTCTTTTATTTATTTATTTTTTCTTCTGGTGCACTCAAGAGATGCCAAGAGTTGTTACTTAACAATCCTGCTCTTTTGCTGGAGCGATCCTGGCCTCCTGCATCTGTTGAGGCTTCCCAAGGCTGCTCTGGCTGATAGACAACCCGGGCTGCTTTTTTGACTTTTCACCTCCACGGCGGAACTATCTCTTTACCTTGGACCAAGAACCCTTTGGAGAAGCTTAAAGGGGTTTCACGGTTTGGACAGATCCGTGGGCTCAACTGCTTGGAGGGAGATGTGAAGTTATACTGGATACTGAAAGGGTTGATCCAAAACAAGCCCTCCTCAGAGAGGCTCAGCTAGCTCTTCCGATCCACCAGGAAGATTTTCTTGGCTTTCCATCCATTCAAGGCCTCCTTTTACCACCCATGGAAATTAGGTTTTGATCCACAGCAGTGAGGTGATTCTAAAATTCCCAACCAGAATGTTTGGAATTTAAATTTAGATTTCAGAGTTTGATGTGTTTACAGCCTTGCTTGCTTCTCTCAATAGTTGTATTGCTTCTTCTCCTCTCTTCTTCTCCTCCTTTCTCCTTCTCCTTCTTCTTCCTCCTCTAACTAGACAATTGGATGCATGTATTTCTAAGCAATCCAGTAGTCTATTAATATAATTAAAAAAAAAACTCTTGCTATCAAAGTACTGTAATTAGGACTATTATCTCAGAGAAAATTTATTATCGTTAGGGTGCCATGTTTGCAGTGACTATTCAGGGATGATGAAACCTTTCCTTAGCTAATAAGCTCAGAGAATAACCTTCCCACCCATCACCCCCTGCGAAGCAACACAGGTAAAATGATGCAAGAATTGCATGGGGAAGAGAATGGAGTTCTTGAAAAAAGTTGTATTGTGAACAAAATCAGGGACAAGCAACAGGGGCATGCATAAAGCCCAACTCTTGTTATGGCTAGTTTGGTCTAGGTTGAGTCTTTAAATAAATCCAGCTATCTAGAGATCAGGGTTTGACTTTGCACACAGTATGTGAGCAGTGCTGTGGTTTATTCAACAAACCATGATTAAAATCCTGGCATTTAAAGTCTGTGTTCCTTTTCTAACTTGGCTAAACCCTCCTTCATCTGATTAGCTTTTTCTGGAACAATCTCTGTCCCACCAAACTGTTTGGAAGATTTCTCTTTACACCAAAGTTTTCCCTGATTTTTTAAAAAACTTCTGGAAAAAGATCGGTATTGCAGAACCTCTAAAACATCCCTCTTTTGCAGACAGAGAAAGTGCCTGTTTTGGATCAAAACGATGCTCCTCTCGAAAATAGGGACGCCATTAACAGACAGCTCAGTTTCTTCATTAGTTTCCTTTTTCGTCAGATACAGAGTTGCCTTAATTGTTCATTTAGTTGAAAGATGTTGCACCTTTGAATTTGCAAAAGAGAAAACTTTGTAGGAAAAAAAAATCTCCTTTAGGATTTGAAAAGGTTGATTTGGGATGATGTTCAGGGCCAGAGACGGATGACATTAGCAGGCCCAAACCTATTACAGAGCCCCGAAAAGCTTGGAAATTAAAGAGTTTTAACAAACAATCATTTTAATCTGTTTGTTGGTTTTGTATTATACACGTTTTGTGTTGTACAACTGGAAGGAAAAACTGTCCCACTTTGCATGAGAAATTAATTGCTTCCTGCATTTTCCGGATTGCTTTAAAGTCAGGAGAGCTTTCACTCTAGCAGGGCAAGGAATCAAAGGCCAAATGTGTCCCAGTGTTTAAATAAATTTTAACTTTTAGCAGGGTAAAAGAAAACCAGACCCAGAAGCCAGATGTTTATTTTATGTCTTGATTTTATAAAAAAAAAAGTTTCAAAAATGCATTTCTTTCTGCAAAGATGCAAATAGCCCAAGGAGCTCCCCTCCAGCGGTGAAACTTATTTTTAAATACGATTATTATTTATTATAGAGAAACATGCAATTTCTAGGTTTTTTTTCTCTCCTGACTGCCTTAGCCAAGCCCCGCCCATTCCATACGGCAGATTTTGCTCCTGCTGCTGCTGCTGCTGCTGGGCGCAGCCATGACAGCCGGCATGAAGCCCCGGCCGGCTCCATGGTTGGCGGCGGCCGCGCAGGCGTGCTTGCTCTCCCCTCCTGAGCGAATGAATGAAGAGGGGTGGGGCCGAGGGAGAGCCGCGCGCAGCGAGCTTTCGAAAAGTGGGCGGGGCTACGCTTCAGGGCTGCTCCGGCCATGGCCACTGTGGATGCTGAGGTAAGTGTGGGCACCGGGTGCGTCCACCTCCCTTGTAAGGCGCGGGGGGGGGGGGGCGAAAGGAGGAGACTAGCCTTGAGGTGGGGAGAGCCTCCAACGGCCCTTCGGAAGCCGAGCCGACCTCCAGCGCTGCGCCGGTCCTCGCGTTCCTCCTCCTTTCTTCCTTAGACCCTCCCCCCCCGCTATCGCATGGTTCAGCCCAGCCCTCCCAATAGAAAGCATGAGCGGGGACGCTCCCATTGTGTGCGGAAAAGGGGTGGGTGAAGGTGGCGCAGAGGGGGCGGGGGCAGGAGGAGGAGAAGGAGAACCCTGGAACCTGTATAGCCATCCAACACTCCCTCACAGCTGCTCCCCGAGCGCGACAGCTATGCAGGTTCCCGGGTTCGCCAAGTGGCGGCCGCTACCCAGAGTCCGGGGTTCCGGCGTGGCCGCTCTCCAGCCCAGTTGGCGCTTCGCCATGCTCGGTCTGGGGCCCGGGCGGCGTGGGCGGGGCCAAGCC